CTCTAAGGCTCAAGTGATCCTCCTGCCTCAGCCTCCCAAAGTGCTAGGATGAGAGATGTGAACCATTGTACCTAGCTAGCTTGTTTTGTTTGTTTGTTTTCTTCTTGAGACAGGATCTTGCCATGTTGCCCAGGCTGGAGTGCAGTGGCATGATCATGGCTCATTGCAGCTTCAATCTCCCAGACCCAAGTGATCTCTCCACCTCAGCCACCTAAGTAGCTGGGACTGTAGGCACATGCCATTATGCTTGGCTGAATTTTTTTTTTTTTTGTAACACAAAGCATCTTTTTTTTTTTTTTCTTGGCTAATTTTTTTTTTTTTTTTTCTTTTTTAGTAGAGATGATTTTTCACCATGTTAGTCAGGCTGGTCTCGATCTCCTGACCTCAAGTGTTCCACCTGCCTTGGCCTCTCAAAGAGCTGGGATTATAGGTGTGAGCCCACCATGCCCCTGATTTTTTTTTAATAGCCTTACTGAGATATAATTTACATCTCATACAATTCACTCAGCATACCTGTTAAAATATGTTTTGTTTTGAGATAGAGTCACCTTATGTCACCCAGGCTGGAGTGCAGTGGCATGATCTCAGCTCACTGCAGCTTCGAATTCCTGTACTCAAGCCATCCTCTGGCCTCAGCCCCTCAAGTAGCTGGGACTACAGGCGCACGCCACCACGCCTGGCTAATTTTTGTATATTTTTAGTAGAGATGGAGTTTCAACATGTTGCCCATGCTGGTCTCAAACCCCTGGACTCAAGTGATCTGCCCACCTCTGTCCTTCCAGAGTTCTGGAGCCAAAAATTTTAAAATCAAATCAATTTAGAAATATGTTAAAGGTTTTATGTTAGTTCCTATTTTAAGTTTTAAAAGGTTTTAGTTCTTCTTATGTAATCATGCTGAAATATGTGCAAAAAGAAATTACATCATTTTCAGCTATTTTATGTTTTTATTCATCTATTTCTTATTCATTCATTCATGCATGCATTTGTTCATTCGTTAATTAATTAATTAATTAATTCTTTCGAAGCCAGGTATTGCTGTGTCGTCCAGGCTGGAGTACAGTGGTTTGATCACAGTTCCTAGCAGCCTTGACCTCCCAGGTTCGAGCATTTCTCCCACCTCAGTCTCCCTGGTAGCTGGGACCACAGGCATGTGCTACCACATGTGACTACTTTTAAAAAAGAATTTTTTTTTTTTTTGTAGGAACAGGGTCTCATTCTGTTGCGCAGGATGTTCTTGAACTCCTGGACTCAAAGCTGTCCTTCTGCCTTGGCCTCCCAATGTGCAGAGACTACAGGCATAAGTCACCATGCCCAGCCTCCATGTCTCTTTTTTTTTTTTTAATTTTAATTTTTATTTTTGAGACAGAGTCTCTCTCTGTCACCCAGGCTGGAGTGCAGTGGCACAATTTCGACTCTCTGCAACCTCTGCCTCCTGGGTTCAAGCAATTCTCTTGCCTCAGCCTCCCAAGTAGCTGGAATTATAGGCGCCCGCCACCACACTTGGCTAATGTTTTGTAATTTTTTTTTTTTTTTTTTTTTTTTTTGAGACTGAGTTTCGCTCTTGTTACCCAGGCTGGAGTGCAGTGGCGTGGCGCGATCTCAGCTCACCGCAACCTCTGCCTCCTGGGTTCAGGCAATTCTCCTGCCTCAGCCTCCTGAGTAGCTGGGATTACAGGCACGCGCCACCGTGCCCAGCTAATTTTTTGTATTTTTAGTAGAGATGGGGTTTCACCATGTTGACCAGGATTGTCTTGATCTCTTGACCTCGTGATCCACCCGCCTCAGCCTCCCAAAGTGCTGGGATTACAGGTTTGAGCCACCGCACCTGGCCTAATTTTTTGTAATTTTAGTGGAGGTGGGGTTTCACTGTGTTAGCCAGGCTAGTCTTGATTTCCTGACCTGGTGATCCACCCGTCTCGGCCTCCCAAAGTGCTGGAATTACAGGTGTGAGCCACTGCACCTGGCCATTTCTCTTTTAAAATAATGTCCTAGGCTGGGCGTGGTAGCTCACACCTGTAATCCTAGCACTTTGGGAGGCCTAGGCAGGCAGATTACCAGTTCAGGACATCAAGACCATCCTGGCTAACATGGTGAAACCCTGTCTACTAAAAATACAAAAAAAATTAGCCGGATGTGGTGGCACACACCCGTAATCCCAGCTACTCGGGAAGTTTAGGCAGGAGACTCGCTTGAACCTGGGAGGCAGAAGTTGCAGTGAGCCAAGATTGTGCCGCTGCACTCCAGCCTGGGCAACAGAGTGAGACTCCATCTCAAAAATAAATAAATAAAATAAAATAAAATAATATCTTAGTATATGAGAAGAACACACTATATAACAAAAGATATAATATAACATTATGTAAAAACTGTATGTAGGCTGGGCATGGTAGCTCATGATATATGTAAATGTTAAGTAATTTGTAGGTGCTGGGATTACATATGACTTTTATTTTCTTCTAAACTTTACAGAATTTTTAAACTATTCTACAGTGAACATAATACTTTTATAACTAAACAATTTAAGGTGTAATTAAAATCAAAAGACTCGTTCTCTGGGAAGCAGAAAGAAAATAAAGTATCAGTGTTAGAAAGATCAAAATTCTTTTAAAAATATATATATTTCCCCCCCAAGATGGAGGTTTGCTTTTGTTGCCCAGGCTGGAGTGCAGTGGCGTGATTTCGGCTCACTGCAACCTCCGCCTCCTGGGTTCAAGCAGTTCTCCTGGCTCAGCCTCCTGAGTAGCTGGGAGTTTGCTACCATGCCTGGCTAATTTTGTATTTTTAGTAAAGACGGTGTTTTTCCATTGTTGGTCAGATTGGTCTTGAACTCCCGACCTCAGGTGATCTGCCTTCCTCTGCCTCCCAAAGTGCTGGGATTACAGGCATGAGCCACCACGCCCAGCCAAAAAAATTTTTTTTAATAGAGATGGCATCTCATAGTTTTGCCCAGGCTGGTCTCAAACTCCTGGGTTCAGGCAGTCTTCCCACCTTGTCCTCACAAGGTGCTGGGATTATAAGCATGAACCACCAAGATCAAGATTCTTACTTAATAAATGGAATGTTACTGGTCTGTCATGATCTAAGAAAAAAAATAAAATATTAAAAAATAAAAATTAAAAAATTAATGGACTGACTATAAAGATCGCTTATAATGTTATTTAAGGTATGATTCACAGGCCACTGCTGGTCCATGACCTAGCTGTTCCTGTTTAGCGGTGAGATAAATACAAAAATTGAGTGTAAGCTTTTAGAATGTTTTATAGCATTTTGATAGAGCAGTATCCAAGTGTACACTCATTTTTGTAATAATTGATTTTTATTGTTACTGCAAGAGTATTGCTCCATGACCTGATTGGGATATTGTAAAAAGCAGCCTTATCAGCCTACCTATTTAAAAGTACATTGAACTGGACAGAGTGCTGTGTACCTGTAGTCGCATCTGCTCAGGAGGTTGAGGTAGGAGGATTACTTGAGTCCAAGAGTTTAAGTTCAGCCTGGGCAACATACTGAGACCACTGTCTCTAAAAAGGAGTAAAGAAAATAAAAATACATTCATTTGTGAAACTCTGAAATCTGAGACCAGTGATTTAGTACTTAATAAGTATAAAGCACTTACTAGCCATCAAGCACTGTTCTAAATGCTTTATAAAATTTTTCATTTATGCAGATAGAATTTCTATAGCCTTTCTTTCCTGCTTGTTCTTCTGGATCAGCATGTCATTTTCTGTTGTAAAATAAGAATATAGAGCCCAGTAGACTGTTACATCATTTATCATGGATTTTGTATTTTGGTTACCTATGACTTGTAGGTAGCAAATCATACTGTTAACCTTCTTTGCTTAAAATTCTGAGGTCTTTATCCTTTGTGTTACTATTGAGCCTGTCCTCCCTTATCCAGTTTTTATATAATTGAAGTTTTAAATCTAAGTGTAGGAATTTATGTATATACCTTATTCCTTCTTTTTTTTTTTTTGAGATGGAATTTCGCTGTTGTTACCCAGACTAGAGTGCAATGGCACGATCTCGGCTCACCGCAACTTCCACCTTCTGGGTTCAAGCAATTCTCCTGCCTCAGCCTCCCGAGTAGCTGGGACTACAGGCACGTGCCACCATGCCCAGCTAATTTTTGTATTTTTAGTAGAGATGGGGTTTCACCTTGTTGACCAGGATGGTCTCGATCTCTTAACCTCGTGATCCACCCGCCTGGGCCTCCCAAAGTGCTGGGATTATAGGCGTGAGCCACCGCGCCTGGCTGACCTTATTCCTTCTAAATTAAATCTTCATTTGGCTAATTATTAGTCCTGAAGAAGTGTTTTTTTCTATTTCTGTTTTGTTTTTAAGCTTAGTTATGTCAGTAATCCATCAGTTCTCCTTCCATTGTCTGTAAAATAGATGATCATAGCTTCTATATCTTTAGTCAAGTTACTGATTTTTAAATCTTCAACAGAACTTTATGGTATGCCATTAGATGTTTCGTGCCATTTTGACACAGCTCCTTTAATCAGTTCATTGTTGACATTAGGTAATGCATCTACTTAATTCTATGGTGGTTAGACCTGTCTGGTAGATTGTAATAAAGGATGTGAGATAATAAGTGGTAAGGAGAATCTGCTTTTAGATCATTGAATTTTATACTTGAAGGTTCATTCTTCCCATTTGCTGGCTGCCACAGTAATCTTTAGAAAAAAACCTTTTCCCTCTTCAGAATATTAAGAAAATAACTAGACATTTGTGACGGTAAATAGATACACAAAATAGATGAGGTTTTTATTAAAGTGTGATGTTTATTTTTCAGCATCTGTTAGACAGTTCCTCCTGTATACTGAATATTGTTAGAGGAACATGGATCATCTTGGTGGACCCAGAGTCTTGATAGAATTAAAGGCGGTAATTCGGGATGGAATTTCGTTTTCTTTTCCTTTTCCTTGTGGGAACTACCACTTTATTCACTGGTGATCATCCCATTAACTAAGGAAAAGTTTTATTTTTTTCCCCATCAGCTTGCTGAACTAAAGCAAGAATGTCTTGCTCGTGGTTTGGAGACCAAGGGAATAAAGCAAGATCTTATCCATAGACTCCAGGCATATCTTGAAGAACATGGTGAGTACTTTGTAGAGGCAGAGTGATGTGAGTGAAGGGATTAATTTTTATTTTTAGGCTTTGACACTTAGAAGATTTCTTCTTTTTTTTTTTAGGTCATTAGAGATGTAAGCTCTTAATTGATAGTATCAAAATCTTTTTTTTTTTTTTTTTTTTTTTTTTAAGAGGGAGTCTTACTCTGTCACCCAGGCTGGAATGCAGTGGTGAAGACTCGGTTCACTGCATACTCTGCCTCCTGGGTCCAAGCAATTCTCCTGTCTCAGCCTCCCGAGGAGCTGGGACTACAGTTGCATGCCAGCATGCCTGGCTTATTTTCATATTTTTAGTAGAGACAGGGTTTTGCCATATCTGTAAGGCTGGTATAGAACTCCTGACCTCAGGTGATCCACCCGCCTTGGCCTCCCAGAGTGTTGGGATTACAGGTGTGCACCACCATGCCTGGCCAGAAAACTCGATCATCTAGAGCAGTGGTTATAATACAAAGACGTATTCCTTTTTTAAAAGATGTAATTTTATTTGAGCATGTTATTTAAAGGGTAGCATGATAATACAAGTATCATTAGACTAGGAATTGGAAGGCTTGAGTTCTAATTCATCTTAGGCCAGATATTTACTAGGTAACTTTGGACAGTTATTGGTTTTTAAAATTTTATTATTATAATTTTTTGAGATGGGGTCTCACTCTGTCACTTAGGTTGGAGTGCAGTGGCATGATCCTGGCTCACTGCAACCTCTGCCTCCCAGGCTCAAATGATCCTCCCACCTCAGCCTCACAAGTAGCTGAGACCACATTGACTAAGTTTTTGTATTTTTGGTAGAGATGGGGTTTCACCGTGTTGTCCAGGGAAGTCTTGAATTCCTGAGCTTAAGCGATTCACCCACCTTAGTCTCCCAAAGCGCTGGGATTACAGGCCTGAGCCACTGTGCCTGGACTTGGACAGTTACTGTTTAAAGTTCCAAGTGTCTGTTTCTGATCTATGAAGTAAAACTATTGTCTGGACCCTTGAAATCCATAAACTAGGTAATCTCTGGTCCTTTCTGATACACTCCAATTCTGCCTTTAAAAAAATACCCATTCTTCATATTTTTAATCTTGTACAGCCTTCTTATTATTTTATTTATTTATTTATTTTTGTTACCCAGGCTGGAGTACAGTGGTATAATCTTGGCTCACTGCAACCTCTGCCTCTCAGGTTCATGTGATTATCCTGCTTCAGCCTCTTGAATAGCTGGGATTATAGGTGTCTGCCACCAAGCCTGGCTAATTTTTTGTATTTTTAGTGGAGATGAGGTTTCACCATGTTGGCCAGGCTGGTCTCAAACTTCTGACCTCAGGTGATCCACCTGCCTTGGCCTTCAAATGTGGTGGGATTACAGGTGTGAGCCACCGTGCCCGGCCTTGTACAACCTTAATCTCAGATTGTACAAGTCTCCTCTCTAATTTTTATTTGCTTACTTTTATTTCCATTCCTCATTTCACTTCCTCCTCAACCCATTTAGGCAACTATTCTAATGTGTTTGAATATATATATTTTTGTCTGTCCTTGTAAACTATGTAGTGTTGTTTGATAGCATGTTTTCATTTATATAATTGGTAATTATGTAATTAATTGGCCATAGCCTTCATTTCTTCTTTTTTTTTTCAGTAAGTGTTGTGTTTTCTTAAAGATGTGTTCATGTGGAATGTGACTGTGTAGTTATCTAGTCTGTTGATTCTAATTCCTGTATAGCATTCTGTAATGGGTAACCACCACATTTCACTTAATTCACTCAGTGACAGAGACCTATATTGCCACGAAGCCTCTGCTACTATCAGTGACACTATTTACAGTATTATCTATGGTAATACTATATGTATATAATAGGATATAGTATATATTATACTACAGGTTAAGTATTCTATATTTGAAATGCTTGGGACCAGAAGTGTTTCAATTTTTAGATTTTTTTTTTTATTTTGGAATATGTGTGTGTGTGTGTGTGTGTGTGTGTGTGTGTGTGTGTATGTAGAGACAGAGAGAGAGACAGAGAGAGAATGAGAGATATCTTGGGGGTGAGATCCAAGTCTAAACACAAAATTCATTTGTTTCTTATCCACATATCTGAAAGTAGTTTTATATAGTATTTAAAATAATTTTGTACATGAAACAAAGTTCTGACTGTGACCCATCGCATAAGGTTAGGTGTGGGGTTTTCCACTTGTGTCATATCGGCCTTCATAAAGTTTTAGATTTAGGAGCATTTCTGGTTTTGAATTTTCAGATTGGGGATGCTTAACCTGTAGGATATAGTATACTATATTCTATATACTAATAGGTTATAGTATATAATTAAGAACTACTTCTTTTATCCTCTTATATTCCTGTGAAAGTCTTTTTGGAGTATGTGCCCAAGAATGGTATTGCTAATTATTATTATTCATAAATACATACTTAATATGACTAAGGGCTTTCAAATTGTTTTCCAGAATTGCTCTATAGATCTATAGTCTCATTACTAGTACATAAGGTTTCTTGTATCTCCACAAACCTAAACTTGGCACTATCCTATCAAGTGGCCTAAGTTTTGCTAATTCGTTGGCTGTTTTATGTTCTCCATGAAAAAAGTTTAAACATTTCATGATTCTTTGGATTTCTTCTTTGCCTATTGAGGTTCCCATAATTTGCTTGTTGGTTTGCAGGCATTTCTTTTATATTCTAATAACTATTCCTTTGTTGGTTTTAGACACAAATCTCTTCTTTGGCTGTGTGGAGTGGTTTATGCCTATAACTCAGCACTTTGGGAGGCTTAGGTGGAATGATCTCTTGAGGCCAGGAGTTTGAGACCAGTCTGAGCAGCATAGTGAGATCCCATCTCTAAGAAAATAATTAGCTGGATGTCCTGGTGTGCACCTGTAGTCCTACCTACTTGGGAGGCTAAGGCAACAGGAACCCTTGAGCCCAGGAGGTGTGATTGTGCCACTGCACTTCAGCCTGGGTGACAGAGTGAGACTGTCTCAACAAAAGCAAATGTCATTTGTCTTTAAGTAGAAGTACTTAATTTTGAAAAATCTTTAGTTTTGCATCTCTTACTTTTGCTACTGGGTTGTTTTTCTTTTAAAGAAAATTTTCCCCACAACTAAATCTCAAAATCTTAAAGATAATTATTCACATTACTTTGTTTGTTTGTTTTTTGAGACGGAGTCTTGCTCCCAAACTGGAGTGCAGTGACCTGATCTCAGCTCACTGCAACCTCTTCCGGGCTCAAGTGATGCTCCCACCTCAGCCTCCCCAGTAGCTAAGACTATAGGTGCATGCCACCACACCCAGCTATTTTTTGTATTTTTTATAAAGACGAGGTTTCGCTGTGTTGCCCAGGCTGGTCGCTTGAACTCCTGGGTTCAAGCCATTCATCTTCCTCTGCCTCCCAAAGTGCTGGGATTACAGAGTAAGCCACAGTGTCCAGCCCCACATTACTTTTTAAATTAATTCTCTAGTTTGACTTTACATTTCTTTCTTCAGTCCAACTGGAGTTCACATTTATAATTAATGTTAGGTAGAGATCTGGTTTTATCTTCTCCAGATGTAGCAGATTTTATGTGCATCAGTTTCTGCCTTCATTATTGGATTTTTTGGGGGAAAACAAAGTGATTATAATTTTAACCTTGGTAAGTGATCAAGATGGTTTTGTAGCAGGGCTTGACCTGAATATTTTAATATTCTTTAGCTGAAGAGGAGGCAAATGAAGAAGATGTACTGGGAGATGAAACAGAGGTGAGTTGGATAGAGTAAGGTTAGTCTCTGGTCTGGTAATGCGCAACTGCCTTGGCCACATTGCTTTAACATCAGTTACTGGAGAACTTCGATGTAAATTTATTAAGGGAGCATAAAATGGGTATGAAGGTTCTGAGAGACTGGTTTATTTTAAAGTTCTGGTGTTCTTCTGTTGATAGATATTTATTCTTTAGATTTATGTTAACCACCTTGTTTCATTTGGTTTTAGGAAGAAGAAACAAAGCCTATAGAGCTCCCTGTCAAAGAGGAAGAACCCCCTGAAAAAACTGTTGATGTGTAATTATCCCTTTTTTATAATCTGAGTACAGAGCAGGCAGCTCTTTTTTTAAATTGTGTTTAATGTTTAACTCTGTTTACCTCTTAGATGTTCCCATTGGCCTTTTCATTTCTGGTTAGATCTTTTTGGTTTTTTTTTTTCAAGAAGGGGCTACTTCAAAGTACTTGGTCCCAGTGAAGCAAAGCAAATTTTCTCCGAGTTATATAATAGGTAATTAGGACCAAGCGACTTCAAAACCAGACATAGTTTAATTCTCCTAGCCTTTGTTTTTCTTTTGTAGGGTCACCATAATAGATTATTTTGTTACTCTATAGAGAATCTGCACAGTTCTCTATACAGTGTAAAACTGTAAACTCTGTTAACTCTTTTTTTTTTCTTTTTTTTTGAGACAGGGTCTTACTGTGTCTCCCAGACTGGAGTGCAGTGGCGTAGTCTCGGCTCACTGCAACCTCTGCTTCCCAGGCTCAAACAATTATCCTGCCTCAGCCTCCCAAATAGCTGGGATTACAGGCATGCGCCACTACTGCCCTTCTAATTTTTGTAGTTTTCTTTCTTTTTCTTATCCTTCCAGGACAAGTGGCACTCTGCACCGGACCCTGGTCCCAGCAATTTTTGTATTTTTAGTAGAGATGGGGTTTCACCACATTGGCCAGGCTAGTCTTGAACTCCTGACTTCCAATGATCCACCTGCCTTGGCCTACCAAAGTGCTGGGATTATAGGCATGAGCCACCGTGCCTGGCCCATTCTGTTAACTCTTAAGAGTTTTGCAGTTTTCTGTAAAACTATAAAACTGAGGCCAGGCACAGTGGCTCATGCCTGTAATCCCAGCATTTTGGGAGGCCGAGGCGAATGGATCATGAGGTCAGGAGTTCAAGATTAGCCTGGCCAAGACGATGAAACCCCATCTTTACTAAAAATACAAAAATCAGCTGGGCATGGTGGTGGCAACCTGTAACACCAGCTACTCTGGAGTCTGAAGCAGTAGAATTGCTTGAACCTGGAGCTGTCGGTTGCAATGAGCTGAGATTATGCCAGTACACTCCAACCTGGGCGACAGAGCAAGATTCTGTCTGAAAAAAAAAAAAAAGTAGAACTGTATATAAGGAGTTTTGTAAGGGAGGAGGGTGTTGGATAGAGGTTACGTTTCTCAAGTAACACTCTGTTCTGTCTTGCTTTCTGATTTATAGTGGAGGAGGGGAAGACAAAGTACTAGAGTGGAAAGTAGATCTTGATTTGTTTAAATTATCCCACAAAGGTGATCCTAAACATCTTTAATTTGGGGCTTTTTCCACAACTCTCTGGCCATTTTGTACTATAGCACATTAACAACAGTTGAGTCCCTTTTAGCATTTTTGTTCTTCATAGCTGTGTTAATGCATTTAATTATAAAAGGCTACACACACACACACATAATTTTACTTTTTGAGAAGGAGTCTCGCTCTGTCGCCAGGCTGGAGTATAATGGCATGATCTCAGCTCACTGCAACCTCCGCCTCCTGGGTTCAAGTGATTCTCCTGTGTCAGCCTCCCGAGTAGCTGGGACTACAGGTGCTCATCACCACGCCCAGCTAATTTTTATATTTTTTAGTAGAGACAGTGTTTCACCATGTTGACCAGGATGGTCTCAATCTCTTGACCTTGTGATCGCCCACCTTGGCCTCCCAGAGTGCTGTGATTATAGGCATGAGCCACCATGCCCAGCCAAAAGGCAATATGTTTACAAGCAAAAAATCAGTACCGGGCCGGGCGTGGTGGCTCATGCCTGTAATCCCAGCACTTTGGGAGGCCAAGGTGAGTGGATCATGAGGTCAAGAGATTGACACCATCCTGGTCAACATGGTGAAACCCCGTCTCTACTAAAAATACAAAAAATTAGCTGGGCATGGTGGTGCGTGCCTGTAATCCCAGTGACTCAGGAGCCTGAGGCAGAATTGCCTGAACCCAGGAGGCGGAGGTTGCGATGAGCCGAGATCGCGCCATTGCGCTCCAGCCTGGGTAAAAAGAGCGAAACTGCGTCTCAAAAAAAAAAAAAAAATCAGTACCTAGAGGAGTATATCAATTGAAAATTAAGTACTCTTTGTATTCATTCTCATTTGACTTTACTGAGGTTTTTAGAACAGTACATTCTTTTTGAAATATTTTATACATGTATACACACACTATGCACACTGTTCCTTGATTTTTTTTTTCATGTCTGGAAATTTTTTATATCATAATTTTCTTATTTAAGTGTTATATGCTAGGCATCGTTCTGAATGTAAATAGTTTCTTTTAATCCTCGGTAGACCCTATGAAGTCAGGATAATTATCCTAGGAAGTGGTCTCTTTTGTTTAGCTTGTTATTATGGGAAATTACAAGTATATACAAAAGTTATGAGACTAGTATAATAGACTCTCATCTACCAATAACCCAGATTTACTAGCTATCAACTTAGAACCTTGTTGTTTCTAGCATTTAATAGTATTCCATTCTGTGGGTAAACAGTAATTTATTTCACCAGTCTCCTGTTGATGGACATTTAGGGTATTCATAAAAGCCAAAAAAAAAAAAAATGTAGTTCTGCATGTCTTTTTATAATTATTTATACACACAAGTATAACCATAGGGTAAATTCCTAGCAGTGGATTTGCTGCATCACAGAGGATGTAACATTTAACATTTTGATATCTTTTTGTCAAATATTCCTTTATTTATTTTTTGAGACAGGGTCTCACTCTCTTGCCCAGGCTAGAGTATGGTGGCACAATCTTGGCTAACTGCAGTCTCCATTTCCTGGCTCAAGTAGTTCTCCAGCCTCAGTCTTCCAAGTAGCTGGGACTATAGGCACAAGCCACCACACCTGGCTCTTTTGTAATTTTTGTAGAGATGGGGTTTCACCATGTTTCCCAGGCTGGTCTTGAACTCCTGAGCTCAAATCGATCCACCTGCCTTGGCTTCCCAAAGTGCTGGGATTACAGGTGTGAGCTGCCATGCCCAGCCTGTCAAATACTTCTTTCTAAAGCCATTTAGTTATCTTTCCATCATAAGAGGTTTATGATTAGATATAGTGTCTTGAAAAAATGACATTGTGGGATAGCTTTAAAATAGAAATGTTACAGGAATTTCTGGGATAAGAAGGAAGATCAGGTGAACACCAGGATAATTGGCTTGTGTGGGTTAAAAAGTAGAGGTTTGAAAGTTTGGAGATCATTATTCATAGAATATTTAAAATGTGCATTTTCTTGTTCGGGAGGGCTTTAATTCTGTTAATGAATTTTGAAACAAATTGAAGTGGGTGGGGATCATTTTGCTTTTTAGAGGGATACTTGTGGTTAGACTGAAGTACGTACAGAAAGATTCTGGGTCCCTGTATTTCGGGGACTGTTTATGTGATTGGGTAGGAGAGAAATTTCTGTGAGGAGTGGAAATTCCCCATGCATCACAGAATTATTTATTGCTTGAGTTTAGTTGTGCCTAAGGGAATTGGAATAGAACAGAAGGAAGCTTCCCTTCTGGGGTTCCCTTTCTGCCAGGAGGTGCACTGCATTGACTGTGCTTCAAAATGCGAGTGGGGAGGAAATCATTACGCTGGGGTTGATGGAGAATACTGCTCTCTTGATGGCATTGGACTTGAAGTAAAACATTAAACTTCTCTTGCCTTTTGTGCCTAAATTATAAGACAAGGTTAGGGAAGGATGGCAAGGAAATGGGAAGCATTTAGAAATTTCTTTAAAAGTCAGAATAGTCAGAGCTAGTTTAGATTGTTTGACTGTTTAAAAGGAGATCCCCTTATTCATCTTTGGCCTGAGGTTCCCCAAAAATATACATTTCTACTTTGATCCCCCCTACCCCCCACACCACCACCAGCCAAAAGTTACATATTGTAGGACTTAGTTATGGTCAGCAGGGGGCACCCATTGCTTGTCTGTCAGTCCAGGGATTTCCAACAAAAGGGTGAAGGAGAGAGTAAGTTCTTGTTCCAGAATTGCTTCCTCTGAAAATGTCATTAAACCATTACTACCATTCAGAGCATCAAATGGGAAAAGTGTCCGGGATATCTGAACAAAAGCTGTCCATGTCTCTAAATGAGGGACCTTAATGAGACTGGTTATGACCCACAGTTTTATGGGAGTTGTTTGGTGGAGGGTTAATGTCCTTCCATTTATCCTGGGTACTTCCGAACTTTGTCTCCCGCCCCTGTGGTCCCCTTTCTTTTGTTTTCTCTTAAGCTTTTGACCAGTAACTTACCATGTTTTCCTAATTCAGACTCCCCTTAGGCTTTTTTATTCCTACCTTTGGCATTTTTATTTGTTCCACTTTGACTGTTCCAGCTAGAGCTACATTCCCCATGGGAGAAATAAGGGATTTTTAAAAGAAGGAAAACAGACCTTGTAGAGTACTCATTAATTGTTGTGATGAACACTGAGAGCTGGTACTTAAAGGAGGGTTGGAGGGCTACTCATTAGTTCAAAAGTAAATTAAAGGCCAAGTACAGTGGCTCATGCCTATAATCCCAACACTTAGGGAGGCTGAGGCGGGTGGATCATTTGAAAACAGGAGTTCGTGACTAGCCTGGCCAACATGGTGAAACCCTGTCTCTACTAAAAATATAAAAATTAGCCAGGCATGGTGGTAAACGCCTATAATCCCAGCTATTCGGAAGATTGAGGCAGGAGAATCACTTGAACCCGGGAGGTGGAGGTTGCAGTGAGCCGAGATCATGCCACTGCACTCTAGTCTGGGCGACAAGAGCAAAACTCTGTCTCAAAAAAAAAAAAAAAAGAAAAGAAAAAAGGGCTGGGCATGGTGGCTCACGCATGTAATCCCAGCACTTTGGGAGGCCGAGGCGGGGGGTTCACAAGGTCAAGAGATCGAGACCATCCTGGTCAACAAGGTGAAACCCCGTCTCTACTGAAAATACAAAAATTAGCTGGGCATGGTGGTGCACGCCTGTAGTCCCAGCTACTCGGGTGGCTGAGGCAGGAGAATTGCTTGAACCCAGAAGGTGGAGGTTGCGGTGAGCCGAGATCATGCCATTGCACTCCAGTCTGGGTAACAACAGTGAAACTCCATCTCAAAAAAAAAAAAAAATCAATTAAGAAGTTCCTAAAAGCAAATGAGATGGTTTCTGGTGTCCTTTGAGTGTATCCCTTTAGCCCAGTATATTACCAGACTTCTTTTCTTATTTCTTTATTATACATTAGCTAAAGAAGCTTAGTTTGTTATTTGAACTGTTTCCTCTCAATAGGTGACAGTTAAAGGAACCAAAGCTTTAGTGGACTTCATGTTTCTTTGGCTTAAGGGGTGGCAGAGAGATAATAGGGCAGAGAGCGGTGACTCAGGTGAATTCTTACACATTTCTAAGGTCGTGGTTTAGAATATCAGTTTTCTCGTTTAAAAATATCTCTTTCTTTTCTAGGGCAGCAGAGAAGAAAGTGGTGAAAATTACATCTGAAATACCACAGACTGAGGTAGGTATTCTGCTCCCTAGTAGAATAGTCTCTACATTTCTCTCTCCCTCTTCACTTTTATTATATCTTCATCATCCTCCAAAATTTATTTACAGGCAGAAAATCAGTATTGACAGATTTTGGTGTTGTTACGTTTCTCTGCCAACTATTCTTTGGAAAATATTTGGCTGGCTTAGTGAGTAGTCATTCTTGAAGTGTAGTCTTTTTGTATGTAGTTTTATGATCTTAACAGTGACTATCTTTGAGATGTTTACAAACCTAGGATTAGAGTTTGGGAGGATTGTACCTTGAAAATATATTGCTAGATATGACTTTTATGTTGCTACTGGCCAGTAGATGAGATCGAAATTTCTCTGGATTTGTGGTGCAGGTCTGTGAACCAGATTCTAGTTGAGATCTTGTGTTCAGTATCATACTTTCAAAGTAGTGAATTATTAAACTGTTTTAGAATAGCATAAAACAATGCTGCTTCATTTCTAACTGAAAGAATACCACTAGTGTTGAAACCAAACTGTTCCTTTGATCACTTTTCAAAGGTCAGCCAAACAGAGCTTTTGATTTCTTGGCTTCATTCATAATACAGGTTTTATTTTTATTCCTCCCTCTTTTTTTTTTGAGGGCATGTAATAATAGTCTTTTTATGTTTGCTTTCTGGAAAGGGCTATTAAGTCCTGCTATGGACACAACCTGATATCTTCTAGGATTGTCAGTATTTTCACTTTAGACCCTAAGAAATTACTCCTGATGTTTTTAGGATACCTACCTCTGGCTGGGCGGGGTGGCTCACACCTTTAATCCCAGCACTTTGAGAGGCTAAGGTGGGTGGTTCACTTGAGGCCAGAAGTTCAAGATCAGCCTGGCCATCATGGTGAAATCCCATTTCTACTAGAACTACAAAAATTAGCTGGGCACAGTGGTGCAATCCTGTAATCGCAGCTACTTGGGAGGCTGAGCCACAAGAATCGCTTGAACCCAGGAGGCTGAGGTTGCAGTTAGCTGAGGTCACACCACTGTATTACAGTCTGGGCAACAGAGTGAGACTCTGTCTTTTAAAATAGGAGAAAAACAAAACAAAACAAAAAACTTACCTCAGACTAACTTTCTTTTTTTCTTTTTGAGTTGGAGTTTCCCTATTGTTGCCCAGGCTAGAGTGCAATGGCATGATCTCAGCTCACTGTAACCTCTGCCTCCCGGGTTCAAGCAATTCTCCTCCCTCAGCCTCCTGAGTAGCTGGGATCACAGGTGTGTGCCACCACACCCAGCTAATTTTTCTATTTTTAGTAGAGATGGGGTTTCTCCATGTTGGTCAGGGTGGCCTCGAACTCTTGACCTCAGGTGATTGCCCGCCTTGGCCTTCCAAAGTGTGAGCCACTGAGCCTGACCACTAACTTTCTTAAACCATAAATTGACTTTTTAATTTTCTTTCTTTCATCTATTTTTACTTAGAGAATGCAGAAGAGGGCCGAACGATTCAATGTACCTGTGAGCTTGGAGAGTAAGAAAGCTGCTCGGGCAGCTAGGTGAGTGTCCCCAGCCTTTTGGGCCTGCAGTAGTGATGTTGTAAGGTGAAGAGGTGTGATCCTAGGTTTTAGATGTAATTATTGATTTTAAGTAGAATAGAAGCTTGCTGAAGGACATGAACACTTTTTTGACCCTATTCAGAACATCTCTACTGATTTGGATATCATAGCTATAGATTGGGCTTTATTGAGAAGGGTTTGTGTAACATTTAAAGCCAGGAACTGACTACTAATACTAATTCTGATAAGGCTTCCTTTTAGCTTAATCTCTGAACTTGGTAAGAGGGAGAGTAAACTGAACCTCTTTCATGGAGTTGTTAGAATTAGCTAATGATTGCAGGGCTTGAGATCACAAGCAAGAAGTGTCATATGTATACTTGGCATGGAGACAGACAACCAGGAGTGTGAACAGCTTCCTAAAATTGAGTTTGTTTTTCTTTCTGCAGGTTTGGGATTTCTTCAGTTCCAACAAAAGGTAAGAGTACAGAGATAACTTCTGAGAAAGTTATCTTTATATTCTTTGTTTTCTGGTATAACAGGTTTCATTTCTCCAAAATAAGATAAATTTGCTAGCCATAGAAATTGTTAAGAGATTATAACTTTCACGTCTTTGCTTTAGGTAAAATTATACTTAAGCCTTCCTGGGCAATTAAGAGAGATACTGAATGTTATGAGAGGATAGGAAGTGCCAACATTTGTCTTCCTTTTCTTGAACATCTTCAAAGAAGTTTCTCTAGTACTTTGCTTACCTAGAATAGGTAAGCAATTAAAATTCATACAATGAATATGTATCACTTTTGTAATGAATTAGAGGAAATAGGGTCTCATCTGCATAAAATTATCGCACACTATCCAGTATTAGACTGGCCGTGGTAAGTGATAAAAGGGAAGAGTATCTTCTACCTTAACAATTTTACTTCTAGGAACGTATAAGGAAAGTCTTGAATGTGCTTAAAAAGTTATTCTCAAGGATTATCACAGCATTGTTTATAGTGATCAATTACTGGAAACAACCAACTATACAACAGAGAATTGGTTTAGTAAATGTGTGCCATGGTATGGAAGACAACATTGTGCTGAAATAATATTGAAAGATATTTATCAGAGATATTAATGAAAAGAGTTACAAAATTATAGTAACAGTATGTTCCCATTTTAGTCATGTAAGAGTGTATATATAGATAGGAAAAAGGATTGGAAAGATATGCAGTTGACACTTGAACAACACAGGTTTGAACTGCACAGGTCCACTTATACATGGATTTTTTTTTCCAATAAATACAGTTTCCCCTCTGTATTTGAGGGTTCATCATAACCAAGTGCAGTTCAAAAATGCAGTATTTGGTGGATGTTAAACCTACAGATACGGAGGAGCGACTTACTGTATCTGCTGCAGGACTTAAGCATGTGTGGATTTTGGTATCAGCTGGAGGGGTGGAGTTGGATCCAATCCCCTAAGGATATGGAGGGATTGACTGTATTTTAAATTGTAGTACTCACTATCTCTGGTTGGTGGATTTTTGAATGATTTATTTCTTTTTGTGTGTCTGTGTTTTTAAAATCCATACAATGAATATGTATCACTTTTGTAATGAATTAGAGGAAATAGTTATTATTATTATTATTTTTTGATACACAGTGTCACTCTTTCCACCCAGGTTAGAGTGCAGGGGTACGACCGGGCCCACTGCAACCTCTGCTTCCTGGGTTCAAGCTATTTTCCTGCCTCAGCCTTTTGAGTAGCTGGGACCACAGGTGTGTGACACCACACACTGCTAATTTTTGTATTTTTAGTAGAGACAGGATTTTACTGTGTTGGCCAGGCTGGTCTCAAACTCCTGACCTCAAGTGATCCACACACCTCTGCTTCCCAAAATGGTGGGATTACAGGTGTGAGCTACTGTGCCCAGCCTGAAATAGTTATTATTTTTAAGAAAGGGCTGGGTATGGTGGCTCATGCCTGTAATCCCAGCACTTTGGGATGCCAAGCTGGGAGGATCACTTGAGCCCAGGAGTTGGAAACTAGGTTGGGCAATAAAGTGACATCTTGTCTCTACAGAAAATTTAAAAATTAGCTAGGTATGGTGGTAAACACCTGTAGTTCCAGCTACTTGGGAGGTTGCAGTGAGCTAAAATCATGCTACTGCACTCCAGCCTGGGGGACAGAGCAAGACTTTTGTCTCAAAAAAAAAGAACATAGCCCCTTTTCTCAGGAACTTAAAATTTAAATGTAGTTTCCTAATTCAATCCAGTTTTTTCTGTGACTTGTCAGTAGTTTCAAGTAAGAAAATGTCCCCCAGAGATCTTGTTGTAGTGTTTTGCTGTGCTTTTAAAAAGACAGAAAAATGCTCGCCACTATCACTAAGTGTTTTAGAGAAAACAATTTTTTTATGGCTCTTAGTTATATCAAGAGAGATACAACAGAAATTATAGAAGGTGGTATTTTTTTTTTTTTTTAAAGAGACAGGGTCTCACTATATTGCCCAGGCTAGACTTGAGCTCCTGGGCTCAAGCAATCCTCCCTCAGCCTTCTGAGTTACTGGGACTACAGGTGCATGGCTGAAATGCTGTTTGAAGAAAGATAATAGACAAACTTAATTGTCTGAAAAGGGAACTTGATAAAAAATACAGTTTCAGTGTTACTCATAATTCTGACATCTTGTAAGTATAGAGTAACTCTAAAATAATGGAATTTGGGAACATTGAAAAGGAAGCACTGTTTTTTGAATGAAATCCTGAAAAGTTTGAAGTAAATAATTATTGGCTAGGTTAGGGTTGGACCTAGAGGCCAATATACTATTTGTTTCTTTTTGTTTGTTTGTTTGTTTTTTGAGATGGAGTCTTGCTCTGTCGCCCAGGCTATAGTGCAGTGGCATGATTTCAGCTCCCTGCAACCTCTGCCTCCTGGATTCAAGCAATTCTTCTGTCTCACCCTCCCAAGTAGCTGGGACTGCAGGTGAATGCCATGACACCTTGCTAATTTTTGTATTTTTAGTCGAGATGGGGTTTCACCATATTAGTCAGGCTGGTCTAGAGCTCCTGAACTCAGGTGATCCACCAACCTCAGCCAACCAAAGTGCTGGGATTACAGGTGTGAGCCACTGTACCCAGCCAGGAGCCGTAATTGCAATTCATGATAGTAGTTCTTGTTTGTCCAGTTGTGATCTCTTTTTTAACAACTTTACTGAGATGCAATTTATATAATATACAATTCATTCATTTAAAGGTATGTAATTCATTGTTTCTTAGTATATTCACAGGATTGTGCAGCTATCACAGTGCTTATCACCCCAAAAAGAAACTCTTTACCCATCGGCAGATGTCCTCCATTACCTCTCCCTCCTCAGTCCTAAGCAGCCGCTAAATTCTTTCTTTGTGGAAATTTGCCTTCATATAAATGAATTCATAACAGTATATTACCTTTCGTGATTGGATTCTTTCCCTTAGCATAGTTTTCAAGGTTCATTCATGTTATAGCAGTGATCCAAGATGGCTGATTACTAGCAGCTCAGGATTGTAGCTCCCAGTGAAAGCACAGAGAATGAGAGGTCACCACACTTTCAGATGAATTTTTGTTGCTCACGGACCAGGAGATTCCCAGCGGAGGAGCCCCATGGTTCACTAGCGCGATGTGATTCTTGTGGCCGGCATGGCGGTTTTGCCGGTGCCCCAGCGCAGCGGTTCTTGGTGCAGAGTAAACAGGACTGGGTCCCCTTTGGGTCGGTGTTTGGAGCTCCGGGAAGGCAGAATTGCCTATTCAGCAGATTATAAAAGGGACTCAAGAAGGAAGCCAGACCAGAGATTCCCAGGCAGTAAAGCACCACGAATCATAACGCTGATGTTTTAGCCGGCACAGTGGGTTGCTCAGATTCTGGCACTGGGAATCAACAAGTTGGATGTCCACTCAGAGACCTAATTTGAAAGTCGGTAATTACAAAGACAACAGGTGGATAAACTTAAAATGATGGGAAGAAACCAGCATAAAAAGTATTAGAATACCCAAAATCAGAATGCTCTCCCTCTACAGGGGAATCACAGTTCCTCATCAACAAGGGAACAAGGCCTGATGGAGAACGAGTGTGTTCCAATAACAGAATTAGGCTTCAGAAGGTGGATAATAAGAAACTTCTGTGAGTCAAAAGAACATGTTCTAGCCCAATGTAAAGAAACTAAGAACCTTGAAAAATGGTTTGATGAAATCCTAACGAGAATAGACAATTTAGAGAGGAATACAAGTGAATTAATGGAACTGAAGAATACAATATAAGAACTCCGTGAAGGGCCGGGCATGGTGGCTCAAGCCTGTAATCCTAGCACTTTGGGAGGCTGAGGTGGGTGGATCATGAGGTCGAGAGATCGAGACCAACCTGGTCAACATGGTGAAACTCCGTCTCTACTAAAAATACAAAAAATTAGCTGGGCATGGTGGCGTGTGCCTGTAATCCCAGCTACTCAGGAGGCTGAGGCAGGAGAATTGCCTGAACCCAGGAGGCGGAGGTTGCGGTGAGCCGAGATTGCGCCATTGCACTCCAGTGTGGGTAACAAGAGTGAAACTCCATCTCAAAAAAAAAAGAACTCCGTGAAGTATGCACAGGTTTTAACAGTCGAATTGATCAAGCAGAAGAAAGGATATCAGAGGTCGAAGACCAACTTAATGAAATGAAACTAGAAGACAAGATTAGAGAAGAAAGTAAAAAGGAATGAGCAAAATCTCCAAGAAATATGGGACTATGTGAAAAGACCTAATTTTCGTTTGATAGGTGTACCTGAATGTCATGAAGAGAATGAATCCAAGCTGGAAAATATTCTTCAGGATATTACTCGGGAAAACTTTCCTAACCTAGTAAGGCAGGACAATACTCAACTTCAGGTAATACAGAGAACACCACAAAGATATTCCTCAAGTAGAGCAACCCCAAGACACATAATCGTTAAGATTCACCAGGGCTGAAATAAAGGAGAAAATTCTAAGGGCAGCTAGAGAGAAAGGTCAGGTTACCCATAAAGGGAAGCCTATCAGACTCACAGCAGATCTCTTAGCTGAAACCTGACAAACTAAAAGAGAGTGGGGTCAATATTCAATATCCTCAAAGAAAAGAATTTTCAACCCAGAATCTCATATCCAGCCAAATTAAGCTTCATAAATGAAGGAAAAATAAAATTTTTCACGAACAAGCAAGCATTTAGATTTCATCACCACCAGGCCTGTTTTACAAGAGCTTCTGAAAGAAGTACTATACACAGAAAGGAATAACCAGTATCAGTCATCCCAAAAACTTACCAAAAGGTAAAAAGAGTATCTCCATAATGAAGAATCTGTATCAACTAATGGGCAGAATAGCTAGCTAGCATTAAATGACAGTATTAAACTCACAAATATCAATATTAATTCTAAACTTAAATGGATTAAATGCCCCAGTCAAAGACACAGACAGGCAAATTGAATAAAAAGTCAAAACCCATGGTTCGCTGTATCCAGATCCATCTCATAAGCAAGGACATACAAAGACTTGAAACAAAGGGTTGGTGGAAGACTTACCAATCAAATGGAGAGAAAAAAAAAAAAAATAGGAGTTGTAACTTTTGTCTCTGACAAAATAGACTTTAATAGTAACAAAGACTAAAAGAAACAAAGAAGGACACTACATAATGGTAAAAGGACCAATGCAACAACAGGAGTCAATGATGGTAAGTATATATGCACCCAATTCAGGAACACCCAGATACATAAGACAATTTCTCAATAACTTATAAAGAGACTTGGACTCCTGCACAATAATAGCAGGAGACTGACACCACATTGTTAATATTCGACGGATCAACGAGATAGAAAATTAACAGGGACATCTATGATTTGAACTCAGACCTGGAACAAGTAAACTCATTGAATATTTATATAATTCTTCACCCCAGGTCCACAGAACATACGTTTTTCTTGGTATCACATTGCACCTATTTTGAAAGTCACCACATAATTGGAAGTAAATCACTCTTCAGCATTTGTATAGCATCTCACAGACTTAAGTGAAATATCGGTTGGCTGTTTGTTATTTTCTTCCCTTATTCCTTCCTGTCTCCGCTGTTAAGCACAATTATTGGCATAAAAGAGGTTTTTAATGCCTGTTTTTAGATTGCATTCCAGCCTGGGCAATAGAGCAAGACTCCTGTTCTCTCTTCCCCTTTCTCTTTCTTTTTTTCAAAAAATAAATAAATTTTTTTAAAAAGCCTGTGTCTCTATTCATTTTTATGGTTTAATATTCCATTATATGGGTATACCATACTTTATTTTGCCAGTCATCAGTTGATGGGTGTTTTCTTTAACCTTTGGTTTAATATGAATAATGCTGCTGTGAACATTTATTTTTGTACAAGTTTTTGTGTAATTATATGTTTTGGTTTTCTCCTGGCTGTATAGCTAGCAGTGGAATTGTGGGATCATATGTAATTGTGTTTGCCTTTTGAGGAACTGCCAGACGTTGTTTTCCAAAGCAGCTATAACTGTTTTATGTTCCTGCTAGCAACTAATGCAGACATTGCTAGATGCAATTTCTGCCTTTTCTTTGTCATCAGAGGGTAAAGGATATGTGTCCTGTATAGTGTTTTTATGTTGCCTAATTTGACTTGAAGACTGTTGACTTTTATCACTTTTAAAAATATTAAATAAAGGTTTATTTACTTCCTTAGGTCTGCCGTCTGATAACAAACCTATGGTAAGAAATCATTTTTAATTCTTTCACACCCAGATCTTAATTCTTTTTTTTTTTTTTTTTTGAGACAGAGTTTCGCTCCTGTTACCCAGGCTGGAGTGCAATGGCACGATCTCGGCTCATCGCAACCTCCGCCTCCTGGGTTCAGGCAATTCTCCTATCTCAGCCTCCTGAGTAGCTGGGATTACAGGCACGTGCCACCATGCCCAGCTAACTTTTTGTATTTTTAGTAGAGACGGGGTTTCACCATATTGACCAGGATGGTCTCGATCTCTTGACCTCGTGATCCACCCGCCTCGGCCTCCCAAAGCGCTGGGATTACAGGCGTGCAGATCTTAATTCTTTATAGCTAACTTTAAAGTTAGAGACTCCACCGGGCGCAGTGGTTCATGCCTATAATCCCAGCAGTTTGGGAGGCTGAGGCGGGTGGATCACGAAGGTCAAGAGATCGAGACCATCCTGGTCAACAAAGTGAAATACCCCGTCTCTACTAAAAATACAAAAATTAGCTGGGCATGGTGGTGTGCACCTGTAGTCCCAGCTACTCAGGAGGCTGAGGCAGGAGAATTGCTTGAACCCAGAAGGTGGAGGTTGTGGTGAGCCGAGATTGTGCCATTGCACTCCAGTCTGGGTAACAACAGCAAAACTCCATCTCAAAAAAATAAATAAATAAATAAAAAATAAAGTTAGAGACTCCTCCTCCCCAGATTAGAGGAAACTCTGAGAACATTAATTTGTTGGCTGTTTTCAGTACAGTGTTGTATGTCCTGAATTTAAACTGTTGGAGATACTGAGAGGTCAGAAAAACTGTAATTGTCACATGCTCAGTTACTGCAGATGTCTTCCTTCCTACCATTTTTTTTGAAAGTAAGAATAGATTTTGTTAGCTAGAGAACAATCCATGTAACCCTTTGTTTTATGGTACTGGAGTTTTAGGCCTTGTCCAGTGGCGTTAGATAATGTCTAATTTATAATTACCACAAGAGAATCTATGGAAGCAATTTATGAATTCTGTTTGTAGCTACTGCTTTTTTTTTTTTTTAAATACTATCCATGAAATTTGAAATCAGAGTAAAGAATGATAGAGTAAAATGGCTCTCTGGATCATTGTGACTAGTTCAGCATGTTTAAAAACGGTAATGAATGCTGTGGTGAGATGGAATCAGCTTTACGAAATCCTGCTTAAGGGGTTACTGTTTAGTGTTGTAAGTGAAGGTTTAATATTATTAATGAAAATTTTGTAAATATATATACATATATATACTTTTTTTTTGAGACAAATTTTCACTCTTGTTGCCTAGGTTGGAGTGCAGTAGCACAGTCTCAGCTCACTGCAACCTCCACCTCCTGGGTTCAAGCAGTTCTCCTGCCTCAGTCTCCCAAGTAGCTGGGATTATAAGCATGCGCCACCCTGCCTGGCTAATTTCTGTATTTTTAGTAGAGATGAGGTTTCACCATGTTGGCCAGGCTGATCTCGAACTCCTGACCTCAGGTGATCCGCCTGCCTTGGCCTCCCAAAGTGCTGGGATTACAGGCATGAGCCACTGCTCCCAGTCCTAAATATTCTTGTAATAGTAACAAGTCTCAGGTATCAAGGTTTCCCAGAAAGGAGGGAAGACAGTTGAGTTGAGTAGTAGTTATAGATTGTCTTCTGAAAAAGGTGTTTTGTGATAGTTTCTCTTTGCTTGGAAATAGAGTTAAGAAATATTTGCAGAGACCATGTGAAAATTAATGATTTTGGACTGTGAATGGTAGCCCTATTTGGAGGTGATGATTTAGACTTGTGTTTGCTTTCTCCTACAGTGTTTGGCTTCCCTTAATCTTAAGCCCTCCTTATCCTCTTGCCACCTGTGATAAATGCAGGAGGTAGGGCTCAATCTTTCACTGTATTCCAGAGGAGGCCTTTTAATAAGCAGTGGATTAGATGGTGCTGCTTAGTTTTCTGATTTTGCTCATAGGGTATCTTTGATGTTATAGGCTTATTTGAACTCTTAGCTTCAGACTATAGTTTCTGCATTTTCTGTTTTCTGTTTTGATTTTTAAAAACTATGTTCTTTCTTTCTTTCATGTTTTTAATAGGTTAGCTTGGATAAGCTGAAGGAAAGAGCTCAAAGATTTGGTTTGAATGTCTCTTCAATCTCCAGAAAGGTAATGTAGGTTCAATGGAAGTAACGTTTTTGCAACATTAGAGCAGCTTATGGAAACTATGTAGGCTGGAAATGACCCCCCTGAGAATGTAGCTGGCTACAAATCATTTCATTTCACACCCTCCTTTGACTGTCACCTCCTCTTGCTGACTCTTGATTATGTTACAGGAATTCACAAGCTGAGTGTTTTCGTAGCTTTCACCCAGGCTGTTAGAGGATGATCTATATTTCTTTTCTTTCTTTTTTTTTTTTTCTTTGAGACAGGGTCATTCTGTTGTCCAGGCTGGAGTGCAATGGTGTAATCACAGCTCACTGCAGGCTTGACTTCCCTGTGCTCAGGCAGTCCTCCCACCTCAGCCTCTCATGTAGCTAAAACTACAGGTACTTGCCACCATGCCTGGCTAATTGATTTCTATTTTTGGTAGAGATGGGGTTTTGCTGTGTTACCCAGGCTGGTCTCGAACTCCTGGGCCCAAGGGATCCATCCACCTCTGCCTCCCAAAGTGCTGGGATTACAGTCGTGAGCCACTGCACCCAGCCTGAGCATGGTCTATATTTTTGTTGGTTAAGATGTTGAATTCAGTGATGCTAAGACTTATTATATCTACTTTAACTTTGCTAATAGGCATAATGGGAATTAAATCATTAGGAGAAGACAGTCTTGTCTTTAGGTTAAAGGTACCTAGAAATAAAACTTGGAGGTTTAGTGGAATAAAAATAAGAAAGTTATTTCATTCTTTCTGCCCCTCTGCTAGCTGATGTTATTTAGCTTATTAAGCAAGATGACTTTGTTTACTACATGCTGTGTGAGGTGATTGGTTCCCTAGAGCATAGTTGCCTTGGAGTTTTGCAAGGCACATTGGATAAAATTATAAGTATTTTTCTATTTGCCTAAGGCAGGTGGCCTTTTAATCTTTGTTGTTTAGAACAGGAACATGTTTCTTGGTTGTCAAAGTGGTGGCAGGGTATTTGAAACCAGAAAAACCATAATTTAAGAAAAAAATAATTATATCCAACTTCAGTATAAAAGTATTTAGCTCTCTAGAAAGCCATTGGAAGAAACTTACCTGACATTGGTTATATATTTTGCTTAGGAAAAAACTAAACACTAAAAGTAATCATTACTGTGCAACTATGGAACACTTGTGTACAACTTTGTTCTGTCTTTCTTTCATTTACTTTTTTTTTTTTTTTTGAGACCAAGTTTTGCTCTTGTTGCCCAGGCTGGAGTGCAATGGCACAATCTCCACTTACCTTAACCTCCGTCTTCCAGGTTCAAGCGATTCTCCTGCCTCAGGCCCCCAAGTGGCTGGGATTACAGGCATGTGCCACCACACCCAGCTAATTTTTGTATTTTTAGTAAAGGTGGGTTTTTTTCCATGTTGGTCAGGCTGGTCTCAAACTCCTGATCACCTCCGCCTCCCAAAGTGCTGGGATTATAGGCATGAGCCACCGTGCCTGGCTGCCTGGCTAGTTTCTTAAATCTTTTTTTAGAGAAGAGGTCTCCCTATGTTGCCCAGGCAAGTCTCAAACTCCTAGCCTCAAGCCATCCTCCTGCCGTGGCCTCCCAAAGTGCTGGATTATAAGTGTGAGCCACTGCACCTAGCCTGGGTTATCATTTTTTATATTAACCGGAAATATAGCATCAGGTCTGTGTGCCTAGCATGATGCTGAGATCATAGGTGCTCAGTGGGAATACTTGCTCATTTATGTGAAGTAAGAAAAAATTGGGAATTGAGAGGCAGAATATGTGATTCTTAAGCCACATGCAGCTTAATTGAGAAGGGCTATTATAAACCAAAGGTCACTTGTGTTCTCCAAGGTGGCCGAGGGGAAGGGTGTCTTGGATCTGCAGCCCTAGTTCTTACCTGTCTTCTCCTCTTTTATATGAGGGCTAGGTATCTGAGAACCCAAGCAGTAACTTCACACCATCTTCTAGGGAATTGTCTGTGTATTCCTTCAGAATTTACAAAGTTGAACATTGTATCTCTTACTACATAGCTCATATTACACATTCCTGAGAATAATTTGTCCATCAGTGCTATGCTGTATACCTGCGTTGTTTTTATAGTATTTCATTACAGGAATATCAGGTCTTTCTCTTCCCTTTCCTAGAATTTTTCTCTGTCTTTGACCTGTTTTCATTTTTAGTCCACAGTAGGCTTAGTAAAACAGATACATTTATTAACTTTGTGACTTTGAACAAATTACTGAACTTCTTTGATCCTCCTCTGTAAGACTTAGAGCGATAACTACCAACCTGGTTATGAAGAGTAAATAATTGGATACAGAGCCAGTTGTAGTGGCTCATGCCTGAAATCCCATTATTTTGGGAGGCTGAGGTGGGAGGATTAATTGAGCCTGGGAGTTTGAGGCTGCATTGAGCCATGATAGTGACATTGCACTCTGGCCTGGGTGACAGAGTAAGAGCCTGTCTTTTTTTTTTTTTTTTGAGACAGGGTCTTGTTCTGTTATCCAGGCTGGAGTACAGTGGTTCGATCTCAGCCCACTACAACCTCTGCCTCCTGGGTTCAAGTGATTTTCCCACCTCGCCCTCCTGAGTAGCTAAGAATGTGGGAGTGTACCACCAGGCGCAGCTGATTTTTGCATTTTTAGTAGAGGTGAGGAGGTTTCTTCATGTTGCCCAGGCTAGTCTAGAACTTTTGACTTCAGGTGATCCACCCACCTTGGCCTCTTAAAGTGCAGGGATTACAGGTGTGAGCCACCACACGTGGCCTAGACTCTGTCTTTAAAAAAAAAAAATGTATACAGTATTTGAAATTACCTAATAGTGATACTTTGATCCTCAATAAATGTTAGTTTTCTTCCTTTTTTCTTAGTTCAGTTCTGTTGGTAAATTGGCTTTATGGCCTTAAAGTCAGTAATTAACTTGTATCAGTTTTAGTTTTAGTTGATCATTGATGAAATTTCAGCTCCCCTTATAAGTCTCTGGAAGGTTGTAATATAATAATGGTAATTGGCAGAACTCTGGCTATGAGCTTCCTTCTCTAATAACATTGATTGTCAATGTGTATAGCATATTTTTTATTTGCGTATGTGCTAGAGTAGTGCTTCTGAAATTACTGTGGCAAAAAACTAGTTTTAAAAATTTATTATTGCAGAGTGATACTTTTATAAAATACAATTAAAATGCTACAACAGTATTAAATTATTCTGAAAGTTTCTAAACATTTTCAATTTCTGGACTTTACAAACTAGTAAGAAAGAGTTTGAAACCTAGCACCAGGAGGCAGGCTAAGTAGAACTTTATTAGAATATATATGGTTTCCAGGGACTACTTCACTTGGAAATTTTTTTCTTTTTTAGACAGAGTCTCTCTTTGTCACCCAGGCTGGAGTACAGTGATACCATCTTGGCTCACTACAACCCCTGCCTATGGGTTCGAGCAGTTCTCTTGCCTCAGCCTCCCAAGTAGGTTAAACACTGAAAGTAATCATTACTGTACCACTGTGGAACACTTGTGTACAACTTTGTTCCATCTTTCTTCCATTTAGGTTACTTGTGTTTTTTTAATCTTTTTTTTTTTTTTTTTGAGACTGAGTTTCACTCTTGTTGCCCAGGCTGGAGTGCAATGGCACAATCTCGGCCCACCGCAACCTCCGTCTTCCAGGTTCAAGCGATTCTCCGGCCTCAGGTGCCTGAGTAGCTGGGATTACAGGCATGTACCACCACACCCAGCTAATTTTTGTATTTTTAGTAAAGATGGGGTTTTTCCATGTTGGTCAGGCTGGTTTCAAACTCCTGACCTCAGGTGATCCACCAGCCTTGGCCTCTGAAAGTGCTGAGATTATAAGTGTGTGCCACCATGCCCAACTAATTATTTGCATTTTTAGTAGAGATGGGTTTCACTATGCTGGCCGGACTGGCCTTGAACTCCTGACCTTGTGATTCACCCACCTCAGCATCCCAAAGTGCTGGGATTACAGGTGTGAGCCATTGCACCCAGCCGGTTTGTGGCTTTTTGAGATGTCCTCTTTGAGTATAGATCTTATTTATGTTTGTAAATCTCAATTTTCAGAACCATCCTAATTTAAACAGTTTGGTTTATTTTGTCCCATAAACGATCAGTGTCCCAGAAATGCTGATGTTTTGCTGTCTAGACCAGCACTGCCCAATAAAACTTACTTTACAAAGCCATTTGTGGCTAGTGGCTACTGTATTGGACAACTTATATCTAGCTTATATCTCCTACACAGCTTTCATAAATAATTGTAGAAAATATAAGCCATTTCAGAGTAAATCTATGAAAGGAGCAAAGTTGGAGGAAAAGGGAGTAAGAAATAAGAAAAGTAAGGATTTTTTTTTTTCTAGAACTTAGTGTACTAGTTCTGCATCCTGGAATTGAAGCTGGGTACATTGTCTGGTGAGAGTTGCCTAGTTCTTGCGGTTAACTACTTATCGCCACAATGAGTTGCTACCTAGAGTTTGTTTGACTGGTTGACGTTAGTGACAAGGTTAAGTTTGTGTTTACGGAACTGCCAGATGAGCATACTTTAAAATTTTTTTTTGAGACGGAGTTTCACTCTTGTTGCCCAGACTGGAGTGCAATGACACGATCTCGGCTCACTGCAACCTCTGCCTCCCAGGTTCAAGCGATTCTCCTGCCTCAGCCTTCCAAATAGCTGGGATTACAGGCATGTGCCACACCTAGCTGATTTTTACATTTTTAATAGAGATGGGGTTTCTCCATGTTGGTTAGGCTGGTCTCGAACTCCCATCCTTAGGTAATCTGCCTGCCTCTGCCTCCCAAAGTGCTGGGATTATAGGCATGAGCCACCATACCTGGCCAGATGAGCATACTTTTGTCCACCTCATCCTGGGATTCTGGGTTCCAGCGTAGCCTTCTATATAATTTGGTCACTTGTCTTTAAGTTGGGTAATTGTCTAGGCACAGATTTTATTCAGTTAGATGTGGTGCAAATAGTGGAGGTTAGCAAGTAGTGTAGCCTTTTCTCTATCCAGTATTCTAAACAAGACAAT